CACACTACAGGCTGATCCAACTTTGATGTAATGTCCTTAAAACAAGTCAAAATGAGGCTCAGTAGTGTGTGTGGCCTCCACGTGCCTGAATGACCTCCCTACAACGCCTGGGCATGCTCCTGATGGGGTGGCGGATGGTCTCCTGAGGGATCTCCTCCCAGACCTGGACTAAAGCATCCGCCAACTCCTGGACAGTCTGTGGTGCAACGTGGCGTTGGTGGATGGAGTGAGACATGATGTCCCAGATGTGCCCAATTGGATTCAGGTCTGGGGAACAGGCGGGCCAGTCCATAGCATCAATGCCTTCCTCTTGCAGGAACGGCTGACACACTCCAGACACATGAGGTCTAGCATGTCGCAACCTTCGCTCTCTCTCTCCCGCTACTCTCTCCTCTTCCATACTATCATCTCTTCCCTCTGCTCAAACCTTCTCCCTCCAATCTCCTGATTCTGCCTCCTCAACCCTCCTCTCCTCCCTTTCTGCATCCTTTGACTCTCTATGTCCCCTATCCTCACGGCCGGCTCGGTCCTCCCCTCCAGCTCCGTGGCTTGATGACTCATTGCGAGCTCACAGAACAGGGCTCCGGGCAGCCGAGCGGAAATGGAGGAAAACTAGACTCCCTGCGGACCTGGCATCTTTTCACTCCCTCCTCTCTACATTTTCTTCATCTGTTTCTGCTGCTAAGGCCACATTCTACCACTCTAAATTCCAAGCATCTGCCTCTAACCCTAGGAAGCTCTTTGCCACCTTCTCCTCCCTGCTGAATCCTCCTCCTCCCCCCCCCTCCCCCTCCCTCTCTGTGGATGACTTCGTCAACCATTTTGAAAAGAAGATTGACGACATCCGATCCTCGTTTGTTAAGTCAAATGACACTGCTGGTCCTGCTCACACTGCCCTACCCAATGCTTTGACTTCTTTCTCCCCTCTCTCTCCAGATAAAATCTTGCGACTTGTGACGGCCGGCCGTCCAACAACCTGCCCGCTTGACCCTATCCCCTCCTCTCTTATCCAGACCATCTCCGGTGACCTTATCATTTACCTCACCTCGCTGATCAACTCATCCTTGACCGCTGGCTATGTCCCTTCCGTCTTCAAGAGAGCGAGAGTTGCATCCCTCTGATGTCAACAACTACAGACCAATATCCCTTCTTTATTTTCTCTCCAAAACTATTGAGCGTGCCGTCTTTAGCCAACTCTCTTGCTATCTCTCTCAGAATGACCTTCTTGACCCAAACCAGTCAGGTTTCAAGACTGGTAATTCAGAGACTGCTCTTCTCTGTGTCACGGAGGCTCTCCGCACTGCTAAAGCTAACTCTCTCTCCTCTGCTCTTGTCCTTCTAGACCTGTCTGCTGCCTTTGATACTGTGAACCATCAGATCCTCCTCTCCACCCTCTCCGAGCTGGGCATCTCGGCGCGGCTCACTCTTGGATTGCGTCCTACCTGACCGGTCGCTCCTACCAAGTGGCGTGGCGAGAAGCTGTCTCCGCACCACGTGCTCTCACCACTGGTGTCCCCAGGGCTCAGTTCTAGGCCCTCTCCTATTCTCGCTATACACCAAGTCACTTGGCTCTGTCATATCCTCACATGGCCTCTCCTATCATTGCTATGCAGACGACACACAACTAATCTTCTCCTTTCCCTCTTCTGATAACCAGGTGGCGAATCGCATCTCTGCATGTCTGGCAGACATATCAGTATGGATGACGAATCACCACCTCAAGCTAAACCTTGGCAAGACGGAGCTGCTCTTCCTCCCGGGGAACGACTGCCCGTTCCATGATCTCGCCATCACGGTTGACAACTCCTGTTGTGTCCTCCTCCCAGAGTGCGAAGAGCCTTGGCGTGACCCTGGACAACACCCTGTCGTTCTCCGCTAACATCAAGGCGGTGACCCGATCCTGTAGGTTCATGCTCTACAACATTCTGAGAGTACGACCCTGCCTTACACAGGAAGCGGCACATGTCCTAATCCAGGCACTTGTTATCTCCCGTCTAGATTACTGCAACTCGCTGTTGGCTGGGCTCCCTGACTGTGCCATTAAACCCCTACAACTCATCCAGAATGCCGCAGCCCATCTGGTGTTCAACCTTCCCAAGTTCTCTCACGTCACCCCGCTCCTCCGCACACTCCACTGGCTTCCAGTTGAAGCTCGCATCTGCTACAAGACCATGGTGCTTGCCTACGGAGCTGTGAGGGGAACGGCACCTCTGTAACTTCAGGCTCTGATCAGTCCCTACACCCAAACGAGGGCATTGCGTTCATCCACCTCTTGCCTGCTTGCTCCCCTACCGCTGCGGAAGCACCATTCCCGCTCAGCCCAGTCAAAACTGTTCGCTGCTCTGGCACCCCAATGGTGGAACAAGCTCCCTCACGATGCCAAGACAGCGGAGTCACTCACCACCTTCCGGAGACATTTGAAACCCCACCTCTTTAAGGAATACCTGGGATAGGATAAAGTCATCCTTCTTCCCCCCCCCCCCCCCCCCCCAAAAAAAAAATAAGAAAAAAAATAAGGTGAATGCACCAATTTGTAAGTCGCTCTGGGTAAGAGCGTCTGCTAAATGACGTAAATGTAAATGTAATGTAAATGTCTTGTATTAGGAGGAACCCAGGGCCAACCGCGCCAGCATATGGTCTCAAAAGGGGTCTGAGGATCTCATCTCGGTACCTAATGGCAGTCAGGCTACCTCTGGCGCCCCACACCATGAATGACCCACCGCCAAACCGGTCATGCTGGAGGATGTTGCAGGCAGCAGAACGTTCTCCACGGCGTCTCCAGACTCTGTCACGTCTGTCACATGTGCTCAGTGTGAACCTGCTTTCATCTGTGAAGAGCACAGGGCGCCAGTGGCGAATTTGCCAATCTTGGTGTTCTCTGGCAAATGCCAAACGTCCTGCACGGTGTTGGGCTGTAAGCACAACCCCCACCTGTGGACGTCGGGCCCTCATACCACCCTCATGGAGTCTGTTTCTGACAGTTTGAGCAGACACATGCACATTTGTGGCCTGCTGGAGGTCATTTTGCAGGGCTCTGGCAGTCCTGCTGCTGGGTTGTTGCCCTCCTACGGCCTCCTCCACGTCTCCTGATGTACTGGCCTGTCTCCTGGTAGCGCCTCCATGCTCTGGACACTACGCTGACAGACACAGCAAACCTTCTTGCCACAGCTCGAATTGATTACATTTACATTTACGTCATTTAGCAGATGTGCCATCCTGGATGAGCTGCACTACCTGAGCCACTTGTGTGGGTTGTAGACTCCGTCTCATGCTACCACTAGAGTGAAAGCACCGCCAGCATTCAAAAGTGACCAAAACATCAGCCAGGAAGCATAGGAACTGAGAAGTGGTCTGTGGTCACCACCTGCAAAACCAGTCCTTTATTGGGGGTGTCTTGCTAATTGCCTATAATTTCCACCTGTTGTCTATTCCATTTGCACAATAGCATGTAAAATGTATTGTCAATCAGTGTTGCTTCCTAAGTGGACAGTTTGATTTCACAGAAGTGTGATGGACTTGGAGTTACATTGTGTTGTTTAAGTGTTCCCTTTGAGCAGTGTACTTATTATGGACACAGTATGCTTACATTATTAGTTATCTAGTTGTTATTAGTTGTTGTTAGTTGTTATTAGTCCCATCCTTCACCTCCATTCAACACCACCCATCTATCTCATCCATTTTGGATTTCTATTTGCCATATATTTTTCAACTGTCCTGTGATGTTTTACAAAAGTTCTGAACCTTTCTATTCTCATTGTTTCTACAGATTGTAAATTGAAAATAAACATTTTTGCTAATAGTATTATTATATTATTGATCGATTGACTATGACTTTTCAGATCACCCAGTAATGCTATCTGCAGGGTTAGCTCCAGGTAAATATTGCAATACTTTAGCCATTCCTGGACATGTGTCCAAAAACAAGCTAGAAATGGACAGTACCAAATCAAATGATCTAATGATTCTGTCTCTTCGCAGCAAAATCTGCATTCTATTGGTAGCAAGAATTTTATATAATAATTTAAATTGAAAAATTCTACGTTTTGAATCCAGCGTCGTTTTGCATAGTAGTTCATAAACACTATGCCATGGGATTGGTACGTCAAAAATATATTATAACTTACCTTCATGGCTGCATGTAAGGTGTCAAGAGTGGTCCTCTGTAGCTCAGCTGGTAGAGCACGGCGCTTGTAACGCCAAGGTAGTGGGTTCGATCCCCGGGACCACCCATACACAAAAAATTTACGCACGCATGACTGTAAGTCGCTTTGGATAAAAGCGTCTGCTAAATGGCATTTATTATTATAAGAATGAAAATATTTTCATGTATTTTCATTCTTTCGGATTGGTTCCCCCAGAACTGCTGGGTTGGGCCTTCCGTAGGTGCCTTACAAAAGTGTCACGGAGGGACTTCCATCTGGTTTTGCGCAATTCAACATCTGTGAAGAGTAAAATAGAATTTATTGTTAACTTGGTATCTGGAGACTATTTGCAGCCTGGCCTTCACCTATCGTCTTGGACTCAAGACAGTGCTGCAGTGGATTATGGAGATCTGTGATGCCATAGAGAGGAGGATGCTGGTGACCCATCTGCCACGACCCACTGAGGAAACCTGGAGATAAACTTCAAGAGGAAAATATATTATGATCACCAAACCACCAAACTCAGGGAGCCGGTTTTTTATTGTTATAAAGGAACATTCTCCGTCGTGCTATTCGCCCTTGTGGATGCCAAATACTGCTTCACTGCTATTCAAGTGGGGGATTTTGGGAGAAACAGTGAGTGTATGCCAACTCCCCACTTGGAAAGGCAATGGTATCAAAAACCCTGCAGGTGCCCCAAGATGCCTTTCTGCCTGAGGGTGAAGATTTGGGAAAGATACGATACACAATGGTGGGGGATGCTGTCTTCCCACTAAAGCCCTACCTGATGAGGCCATATGCCGGCAAAACATCAGCTACAATACATAAATCTTCAACTATTGTCTCTGTCGAGCTAGAATGACAGTGGAGAAGGCATTCGGGATCCTTGCGGCCAGATGGAGGATCCTCTACAAGAAAACCAACCTACTGCCAAGCAAGGTTGATACCCTAGTGTTTGCAATGTGCATCCTCCATAACTTCCTCACAAAGCCTTGTGATGTGGAGATGTGGCTACAGCAGAGTGGGGCAGGGATGAGGCAAGGTATGAGAGGCATAGCCATCAAGGCCAACAGAGCAGGTCAGGAGGCAGTTTCTGTCAGGGAAAAGTTTACAAAGTATTTCACCTCTGTGGCAGGCAGAAATGACTTCCAGGACATAATGGTTGTAGCTAGGCCTACTTAAATGCACTACAGTGGGGAAAAAAAGTATTTAGTCAGCCACCAATTGTGCAAGTTCTCCCACTTAAAAAGATGAGAGAGGCCTGTAATTTTCATCATAGGTACACGTCAACTATGACAGACAAATTGAGGAAAAGAAATCCAGAAAATCACATTGTAGGATTTTTTATGAATTTATTTGCAAATTATGGTGGAAAATAAGTATTTGGTCACCTACAAACAAGCAAGATTTCTGGCTCTCACAGACCTGTAACTTCTTCTTTAAGAGGCTCCTCTGTCCTCCACTCGTTACCTGTATTAATGGCACCTGTTTGAACTTGTTATCAGTATAAAAGACACCTGTCCACAACCTCAAACAGTCACACTCCAAACTCCACTATGGCCAAGACCAAAGAGCTGTCAAAGGACACCAGAAACAAAATTGTAGACCTGCACCAGGCTGGGAAGACTGAATCTGCAATAGGTAAGCAGCTTGGTTCGAAGAAATCAACTGTGGGAGCAATTATTAGGAAATGGAAGACATACAAGACCACTGATAATCTCCCTCGATCTGGGGCTCCACGCAAGATCTCACCCCGTGGGGTCAAAATGATCACAAGAACGGTGAGCAAAAATCCCAGAACCACACGGGGGGACCTAGTGAATGACCTGCAGAGAGCTGGGACCAAAGTAACAAAGCCTACCATCAGTAACACACTACGCCGCCAGGGACTCAAATCCTGCAGTGTCCCCCTGCTTAAGCCAGTACATGTCCAGGCCTGTCTGAAGTTTGCTAGAGTGCATTTGGATGATCCAGAAGAGGATTGGGAGAATGTCATATGGTCAGATGAAACCAAAATAGAACTTTTTGGTAAAAACTCAACTCGTCGTGTTTGGAGGACAAAGAATGCTGAGCTGCATCCAAAGAACACCATACCTACTGTGAAGCATGGGGGTGGAAACATCATGCTTTGGGGCTGTTTTTCTGCAAAGGGACCAGGACGACTGATCCGTGTAAAGGAAAGAATGAATGGGGCCATGTATCGTGAGATTTTGAGTGAAAACCTCCTTCCATCAGCAAGGGCATTGAAGATGAAACGTGGCTGGGTCTTTCAGCATGACAATGATCCCAAACACACCGCCCGGGCAACGGAGGAGTGGCTTCGTAAGAAGCATTTCAAGGTCCTGGAGTGGCCTAGCCAGTCTCCAGATCTCAACCCCATAGAAAATCTTTGGAGGGAGTTGAAAGTCCGTGTTGCCCAGCGACAGCCCCAAAACATCACTGCTCTAGAGGAGATCTGCATGGAGGAATGGGCCAAAATACCAGCAACAGTGTGTGAAAACCTTGTGAAGACTTACAGAAAACGTTTGACCTGTGTCATTGCCAACAAATGGTATATAACAAAGTATTGAGAAACTTTTGTTATTGACCAAATACTTATTTTCCACCATAATTTGCAAATAAATTCATTAAAAATCCTACAATGTGATTTTCTGGATTTTTTTCCCTCATTTTGTCTGTCATAGTTGACGTGTACCTATGATGAAAATTACAGGCCTCTCTCATCTTTTTAAGTGGGAGAACTTGCACAATTGGTGGCTGACTAAATACTATTTTTCCCCACTGTATGTGTGAGTGTGTAATTTAAAAAATCCTTTTACCTGATTGTTTATCAACATGGAACATGTCGTGACGTGACTTTCATTAATGTGATGACTGTTATTTATCAAATTAACTAACTATGTTTAATTGTTACCCAATTAAATTAATCATGTAACAATTAACTCATTTAACTCTAAAATATATATGTTATATATCGATAACAGTCACTTATAAATCATTACCGCATATCAGTCCTCATTCTGAACGTCGCATAATCCTTGGATCCACAAGAACTCCAACCTTACTTATGAGTCAGCAATACACAAATTGGCTTAATTATTGATTTACTAGCTAACTAAATAATAACACAGAATATGTACATACTTAATAAATGAGAAAAGGTCCCTAGTGGACTAACAACAGCATGACTGATTGGTTATCAAAGGAAAGGGAGGAGTAGATAAAGAAGAAAAGAGAGAGAAAGAGACACAACACTTATACATTTGGAAACTACGCTCACAGTAATCAGAATACTTAGCACCCTAACGACCGACCATTCGGAGAAGAATTCATGAATGTATTTACGTGTCTGTCTTTGTTCGTTGTCGCTCTGTTGAACTCAATCACTTTCTCAAAAAGGATTTGTGTCCTATGGGTGTACGGCTCTGCTTGTCCACCAGAGGTCAAAATATCCTTCTTCTTAATATGTCCTGGCTTGGAGTGGAGGGTTCAAATAGAACAGATACTCAGATGCACCCGTGATTGTCTGAGATGGGATCTTCCTCTTCCCACTTCGTGTGGTTAGTCAAAGTTTGAGATCACTTTACATGCACAGCTACAGACTGCCAGTACTTTTTGGTCTAGTGAGTTTTTTCTTCACCTCGTGTAGAGATTCAAAGTTCTAACCATTTTAAACGTGTAGACTACCGTCTCACATTTTCTGGTCTCAGAGTTTCAACCATTTGTAACGTTTAGCACACGCTTCACGTCTGCTGGTCTGATGTGAATTTCGTTACCAAGGCTTTTTATCCTCGGGTAAAAAGGGGGCGTTCCATCACGCCGACACAATGTCTGTGCTCACTTGGGGCGTGATGACTGAATGGGCAAAAGTTTATGTGAAAAACAATTAAAGACTAAAATCACATTCTTATCTTCTCCAAAATACTCTCATACTTAATCATATATTTTATACAACATTTCGATGTAAACTTGACAAATAGAATGTGTACACATTCCGAGTTACAGTTATTTTTTGATACCATCCTTAATGACATCACAAAATAATAAACAATATGACATGATTATTCTTTAGGTCCCCACTGACCATTCTTAACATTCTATTTTTCGGACAAAAACGTTTTGGCGGCAAAACTCTCTCTCTAGACAAAGACATTCCGATCTCAATACTTGAGAGCCAGAGAGAGTTCTCTCCTGCTTAAATTTACGACACAGTGTTAAGATGTCAAAAGCCGGCCCAGACCCACTCCCCTCTTCTGTGGGTGAGACGGTCTGTTTGTTGTCAGTCATTTGCCTAGCTGATCTGAGTCCTTTGATCCATTGTCAGGAGAGTCATGACAGACAGTAAGTTCAACTTTGAACAAGAATAGACTGACAAGTTTTAGAAGAAAGTCATTTGTTTCTGGCCATTTTGAGCCTGTAATCGAACCCACAATTGATGATGCTCCAGATACTCAACTAGTCTCAAGAAGGCCAGTTTTATTGCTTCTTTAATCAGCACAACAGTTTTCAGCTGTGCTAACTTAATTGCATATAGAAGAACGGGGTACCTTCAGGTGTTTGGAAATTGCTCCCAAGGGTGAACCAGACATGTGGAGGTCTACATTTTTTTCTTTCTGAGGTCTTGGCTGATTTCTTTTGATTTTCCCATGATGTCAAGCAAAGAGGCACTGAGTTTGAAGGTAGGCCTTGAAATACATCCATAGGTACACCTCCAATTGACTCAAATTATGTCAATTAGCCTATCAGAAGCGTCTAAAGCCATTTTCCAAGCTGTTTAAAGGCACAGTCAACTTAGTGTATGTAAACTTCTGACCCACTGGAATTGTGATACAGTGAATTATAAGTGAAATAATCTGTCTGTAAACAATTGTTGGAAAAATTACTTGTGTCATGCACAAAGTAGATGTCCTAACCGACTTGCCAAAACTATAGTTTGTTAACAAGAAATGTGTGGAGTGGTTGAAAAACTAGTTTTATTGACTCCAACCTAAGTGTATGTAAACTTCCGACTTCAACTGTATTTGAAACTATGTGGTCAGTCCAAAATGACTTTTCAATTCTGTCATGGAAATAAATGTATTTCCTGTTACCAAGTCATGTACGGTTTTATGCCTTTAGGACCAATTTATTGGTGAATTACAGTGGTGTAAAGTACTTAAGTCTCTCTACTTTACTTCACTATTTATCTTTTGGACAACTTTTACTTCACTACATTCCTAAAGAAAATAATATACTTTTTTACTAACATACATTTTCCCTGACACCCAAAAGTACTCGTTACATTTTGAATTCTTAGCAGTTCAAGAAAATGGTCCAATTCACTCACTTGTCAAGAGAACATCCCTGGTCATCCCTACTGCATCTGATCTGGCGGACTCACTAAACACAAATGCTTCGTTTGTAAATTATGTCTGAGTGATGAAGTGTGCCCCTGGCTATACGTAAATAAATAAAAAACAAGAATATGCCCTCTGGTTTTCATAATATAAGGAATTTGAAATGATTTATACTTTTACTTTTACTTTTGATACTTAAGTATGTTTTAGCAATTAAATGTACTTTGATACTTAAGAATATTTAAAACCAAATACTTTTATACTTTTACTCAAATAGTATTTTACTGGGTGACTTTCACTTTTACTTGAGTAATTTTTTTATTAAGGTATCTTTACTTTAACTCAAGTATGACAATTGGGTACTTTTTTCCACCACCAGTGAATTCTGAAAAGCTATGCAAGGATTGTTCTATAAGGTTGTCTTTTAGGGAGTAATATAGGTTCTTGTAGAATACATTTCATTTTCTTCCATATTGTTATAGTGTAGTGTTTTTAACTATTATCTTTTGAAAATAGACACATACAAAGATTCTGGGAATGAGCATGTACATCTTCAATATGTACAAGTGGCGGTAGGTGCTGTTTAAGATGAGGGAGGACAATTATGGTTTTATGAGCATGGCCTTAATTTTAATACAGCATATTGGATGACTCAATGTAACATCGATAGCTCAATGTAACATCGATAGGTTTAGGCTACTACATCATACTGAAATGTTCCCTACATCCATCAAGAGGTTGCTACAACCTAGCCTATAAATAAAGGTTTATGTAGGTGCACAGGTCGAGATTTTATTTGAGTAATCAAGGTGACAGACAGTGAAACATTCAATACCACCTTGCACACTCTTGCCTGCATCTAGCTGATATAGGGTGTAATCATTAGTCCAACAGTTGCAAATGAGAAATTATATTGGACAAAATCAGATATGTTTATCTTTGCTTTGTTTTGTTTGCTTCCGTTTAAGAAAAGTTTTTCAACAGAAGCGGCATAATGAATACACCGCTGATCACAAGCAAACACAGTTCACTTTCATAACAACCACATACAGTGATGGAAAAAAGTATTTGATCCTCTGGTGATTTTGTACATTTGCCCACTGACAAAGAAGTGATCAGTCAATTTTAATGGTAGGTTTATTTGAACAGTGAGAGACAGAATAACAACATCAAAAAATCCAGAAAAACGCATGTCAAGAATGTTATAAATTGATTTGCATTTTAATGAGGGAAATAAGTATTTGACCCCTCTGCAAAACATGACTTAGGACTTGGTGGCAAAACACTTGTTGGCAATCACAGAGGTCAGACGATTCTTGTAGTTGGCCACCAGGTTTTCACACATCTCAGGAGGGATTTTATCCCACTCCTCTTTGCAGAACTTCTCCAAGTCGTTAAGGTTTCGAGGCTGATGTTTGGCAACTCGAACCTTCAGCTCCTTCTACAGATTTTCTATGGGATTAACGTCTGGAGACTGGCTAGGCCACTCCAGGACCTTAATGTGCTTCTTCTTGAGCCACTCCTTTGTTGCCTTGGCCGTGTGTTTTGGGTCATTGTCATGCTGGAATACCCATCCACGACCCATTTTCAATGCCCTGGCTGAGGGAAGGAGGTTCTCATCCAAGATTTGACGGTACATGGCCCCGTCCATCGTCCCTTTGATGCGATGAAGTTATCCTGTCCCCTTAGCAGAAAAACACCCCCAAAGCATAATGTTTCCACCTCCATGTTTGACGGTGGGGATGGTGTTCTTGGGGTCATAGGCAGCATTCCTCCTCCTCCTCCAAACACTCGAGTTCAGTTGATGCCAAAGAGCTCCATTTTGGTCTCATCTGACCACAACACTTTCACCCAGTTCTCCTCTGAATCATTCAGATGTTTATTGGCAAACTTCAGACGGCCCTGTATATGTGCTTTCTTGAGCAGGGGGACCTTGCGGGCGCTGCAGGATTTCAGTCATTCACGGCATACTGTGTTACCAATGGTTTTCTTGGTGACTATGGTCCCAGCTGCCTTGAGATCATTGACAAGATCCTCCCGTGTAGTTCTGGGCTGATTCCTCACCGTTCTCATGATCATTGCAATTCCACGAGGTGAGATCTTGCATGGAGCCCCAGGCCGAGGGAGATTGACAGTTCTTTTGTGTTTCTTCCATTTGCGAATAATCGCACCAACTGTTGTCACCTTCTAACCAAGCTGCTTGGCGATGGTCTTGTAGCCCATTCCAGCCTTGTGTAGGTCTACAATCTTGTCCCTGACATTCTTGGAGAGCTCTTTGGTCTTGGCCATGGTGGAGAGTTTGGAATCTGATTGATTGATTGCTTCCGTGGACAGGTGTCTTTTATAAAGGTAACAAACTGAGATTAGGAGCACTCCCTTTAAGAGTGTGCTCCTAATCTCAGCTCGTTACCTGTGTAAAAGACACCTGGGAGACAGAAATCTTTCTGATTGAGAGGGGGTCAAATACTTATTTCCCTCATTAAAATGGAAATCAATTCATAACTTTTTTGACATACCTTTTTCTGGATTCTTTTGTTGTTATTCTGTCTCTCACTGTTCAAATAAACCTACCATTAAAATCATAGACTGATCTTTTCTTTTTCAGTGGGCAAACGTACAAAATCAGCAGGGGATCAAATACTGTTTTCCCTCACTGTACAAACAGCATGAACATTTTGTTCATTACATAATTCCTTCTCGCATCTACATGCTCTCCTACTCTCACCATTTCCCTTTACTTGTGGACTTCAGTACACAACACATCAGCTGTCTGTGATCAGGTGAAAAAAATGTTCCAAGTAAAGGAACCATATTAGCTAACGACATTAGTAACGTCATAGTCAATATAGCTACTAGAACTAAAGTGTTAGTAAACCAACTACAATCATGCAGTACAGTGTACAGTTAACAAGAAGTTTAACAGTTACACAGGTGGGCCCATGTGGCAATAAATTAATAAAAACAAAAGCTTACTTTGACTTGGAAGAGTTCCAGTGTTGGATAGCCATAGCCAGCTAGCTAACATAGCATCCCTCTCTATTTGTGCCGGGTGTATGACTAGGCTAAGTAAAAGTGAAAAGAAATACAACTAAATTCTCTCTCTCTCTCTCTCTCTCTCTCTCTCTCTCTCTCTCTCTCTCTCTCTCTCTCTCTCTCTCTCTCTCTCTCTCTCTCTCTCAATTCATTCATTCATTCATTCATTCAAAATTGTTAAACTATTGTCTTTCTCTCTCTTTGAGTCAACTACTCACCACATTTTATGCACTGCAGTGCTAGCTAGCTGTAGCTTATGCTTTCAGTACAAGATTCATTCTCTGATCCTTTGATTGTGTGGACAACATGTAAGTTCAAGCTGCACGAGCTCTGATAGGTTAGAGGACATCCTCCAGAAGTTGTCATAATTATTGTGTACGTCTATGGAAAGGGTGAGAACCGTGAGCCTCCTAGGTTTTGTATTGAATTCAATGTACCCAGATTAGAATGGAAACTAGCTGTCCTCCGGCTACACCATGGTGCTACCCTACAGAGTGCTGTTGAAGCTACTGTAGACCTTCATTGCAAAACAGTGTGTTTTAATCAATTATTTGGTGACGTGAATATATTTAGTATAGTTTTATCTAAAAAGGATAACTTTTGTTATGTTTCACTATTTTTATTTATATTAAATTCACTGAGGAGGATGGTCCTCCCCGACCTCTTCTGTGGAGACTCCACTGATATGTACCCATTGTTCCTCTTTAGTGCATTTAACTATATGTTGCAAGTAAAAAACCTTGGGTAGTGAGTTGATACAATTCCAAGTCTGGAAGGTTAAAACCACCCTCAGACATAGGAAGATGTAACATTTTCCTTTTTATTCTATGAATTTTATTTGCCCATATAAAGTATGTTACTTTTTTTAGAGAATGCCTTCAGTGGGGTAATTGGTATTACCAAAATCTACCTGTAAGATTTATGGGATGATTATTCAATTTAAATCAGATCTGCTTTCATATTGTTGAGTAATGGCAAATAAAGAAACATCCCTTTTTCTGGACCCTGTCTTTCAAATTGAATTGCTAAAAATACAAATAACTTCACAGATCTTTATGGTAAAGGGTTTAAACAATGTTTCCCATGCTTGTTCAATGAACCATAAACAATTAATGAACATGCACCTGTGGAACTGCCGTTAAGACGCTAACAGCTTACACACGGTAGGCAATTAAGGTCACAGTTATGAAAACTTAGGACACTAAAGAGGCCTTTCTACTGACTCTGAAAAACACCAAAAGAAAGATGCTGGGCATTCTGCAAGGAGGCATGAGGACTGTAGATGTGGCCAGGGCAATAAATTGCAATGTCCGTACTGTGAGACGCCTAAGAGAGCGCTACAGGGAGACTGGACGGACAGCTGATCGTCCTCGCAGTGACAGACCACGTGTAACAACACCTGCACAGGATCGTTACATCCGAACATCACACCTGCGGGACAGGTACAGGATGGCAACAACAACTGCCCGAGTTACACCAGGAACGCACAATCCCTCCATCAGTGCTCAGACTGTCAGCAATAGGCTGAGATAGGATGGACTGAGGGCTTGTAGGCCTTTTGTAAGGCAGGTCCTCACCAGACATCACCGGCAACAACGTCGCCTATGGGTACAAACCCACCGTCGCTGGACCAGACAGGACTGGGAAAAAGTGCTCTTCACTGACGAGTCGCAGTTTTGTTTCACCAGGGGTGATGGTCGGATTCACGTTTATCGTTGAAGGAATGAGCGCTACACCGTGTCCTGTACTCTGGAGCGGGATCGATTTGGAGGTGGAAGGTCCGTCATGGTGTGGGGCGGTGTGTCACAGCATCATCGGACTGAGCTTATTGTTATTGCAGGCAATCTCAATGCTGTGCGTTAAAGGGAAGACATCCTCCTCCCTCATGTGGTACCCTTCCTGCAGGCTCATCCTGAAATGACCCTCCAGCATGACAATGCCACCAGCCATAATGCTCGTTCTGTGCATGATTTCCTGCAAGACAGTAGTGTTCTGCCATTGCCAGCGAAGAGCCCGGATCTCAATCCCATTGAGCACGTCTGGGACCTGTTGGATCGGAGGGTGAGGGCTAGGGCCATTCCCCACAGAAATGTCTGGGAACTTGCAGGTGCCTTGGTGGAAGAGTGGGGTAACATCTCACAGCAAGAACTGGCAAATCTGATGCAGTCCGTGAGGAGGAGATTCACTGCAGTACTTAATGCAGCTGGTGGCCACACCAGATACTGACTGTTACTTTTGATATTGACCCCCCCTTTTTTCAGGGACAAATTGTTCCATTTCTGTTAGCCACATGTCTGTGGAACTTGTTCAGTTTATGTCTCAGTTGTTGAATCTTGTTATGTTCATACCAATATTTACACATGTTAAGTTTGCTGAAAAGAAACACAGTTGACAGTGAGAGAACGTTTATATTTGTTGTTTGTTGTCACTTATTAAGCATCCTAAGTATTTCATATTTTTTATGGTCCACTTAAAGGATTGCTGTAGATCATGAGTTATTTTTTTTTCTATTGCCATTATTTAAAAAAATTCACGTACATTTTATAACCTGACATTTTTTAGTATTCTGGAAATATTTAGCAAAAGGGGCATTGTGTTTTCAATATTGGTCAGGTACACTGCATGATCAAAGTATGTGGACACCTTCTCATCAAACATCTCATTTAAAAATCCTATAGAGTTGGCCCCCCCTTTGCTGCTACAACAGCCTCCACTCTTCTGGGAAGGCTTTCCACTAGATGTTGGAACATTGTGTCACGAATGTCGGTGGAATGCGGTAGGCCAGAGTCAAGCGCAGGACACAGAATGAGATGAAGAACCACTTTACTGAGTAGTAAAGAAAATACAAGCAAAACAACAACAAAGGAGGAGCAAAACCCGCTCACAGAATGACACTCGTACAAACCAATAAACACGCACACCAAACAGTGGACGTGAACAGGTTAAATAGGAAGACAAACAAACATAATAGGGAACAGGTGTGCAACAACAGACAACAATCAAGTGAACATAGAAACATATAACATAGAGCGGCAGCAGCTAGTACTCTGGTGACGAATGCCGAAACCTACCCGAGCCAGAAGGAAGGGCAGTCTCGGCAGAATCCATGACAGTACCTACCCCCCCACCCCCCTCCGGCCTTGGGTACGGCCAGGAGGACGCGGTGCGGGGCGAGTGTGATGATTCTGATGGAATTCTCTCAACAAGGAGGGATCGAGGATATCCCTCCTAGGAACCCAGCACCGCTCCTCCGGACCGTAACCCTCCCACTCCACAAGATACTGCAGGCCCCCCACCTGACGCTTCGAATCCAGGATGGAACGGACCGAGTACGCCGGTGCCCCCTTGATGTCCAGTGGGGGCGGAGGAACCTCCCGTATCTCAGACTCCTGGAGTGGACCAGCTACCACCGGCCTGAGGAGAGACACATGGAACGAGGGGTTAATACGATAATTTATAGGAAGCTGTAACCTATAACATACCTCGTTCAATCTCATTAGGACTTTAAATGGGCCCACAAACCGCCTACCCAATTTCCTGGCAGGGCAGGCGAAGGGGCAGGTTTCAAGTCGAGAGCCAGACCCGGTCCCCCGGTGCATACACCGGGGCTTCACTGCAGTAGTGGTCGGCGCTCGCCTTCTGACGCCTGATGGCCCGCTGCAGGCGTTCATGTGTAGCGTCCCGGGTCTCCTGCGAGCGCCGAACCCACTCGTCCACTGCAGGTACCTCGATCTGGCTCTGATGCCACAGTGCCAGGGCCGGCTGATAACCTAACACACACTGGAAAGGTGTGAGGTCAGTTGAGGAGTGGCGGTTGGAGTTGATAGCCATCTCTGCCCAGGGTAGGAAAACCGACCACTCCCCTCGCCGGTCCTGGCAATACGACCTCAGAAACCTACCCACCTCCTGGTTAATTCTCTCCACCTGCCCGTTACTCTCGGGGTGAAAACCTGAGGTAAGGCTAACCGAGATCCCCAAACGTTCCATGAACGCCCTCCAAACCCTTGAGGTGAACTGGGAACCCCGATCAGACACTATATCCTCAGGTACCCCGTAGTGCCAGAGGACGTGTGTAAAAAGGGCCTCTGTAGTTTGTAGGGCCGTAGGGAGTCCGGGCAGAGAAAGGAGGCGACAGGACTTAGAAAACCGATCCACAACGACCAGGATGGTTGTGTTCCCTCTTGAGGGAGGAAGATCAGTCATAAAATCCACCGATAGGTGGGACCACGGTCGTTGTGGAACAGGTATGGGTTGTAATTTCCCTCTGGGCAGGTGTCTAGGAGCCTTACACTGGGCACACACCGAGCAGGAGGAAACATAAACCCTCACGTCCTTGGCTAAGGTGGGCCACCAGTACTTCCCACTAAGACAGGTCACTGTCCGACCGATGCCAGGGTGACCAGAGGAGGGTGACGTGTGAGCCCAATAGATCAAACGATCGCGGACCTCTAGCGGTACGTACTTACAACCCTCTGGACACTGGGGAGGAGAGGGTTTGATACGTAACGCCAGCTCGATGTCCGCGTCAACCTCACACACCACCGGTGCCACCAGACACGACGCCGGAAGTATGAGACTGGGCTCCACGGAACTCTCCTCCGTGTCATACAGTCGGGACAGAACATCTGCCTTAGTATTCTGGGAGCCCGGCCTGTAAGAAAGGGTGAAAACAAAACGGGTTAGAAACATGGACCACCTTGCCTGGCGAGGGTTTAACCTCTTCGCCGCTCTGATGTACTCCAGATTGCGGTGGTCAGTCAAAATGAGAAAAGGGTGTTTAGCCCCCTCAAGCCAATGTCTCCACGCTTTCAGGGCTTTGACCACCGCCAACATCCCGGTCCCCCACATCATAGTTGCGCTCCACCGGGCAGAGCTTCTTCGAAAAGAAAGCACAGGGGCGGAGCTTGGGTGGCGTGCCCGAGCGCTGAGAAAGTACAGCGCCTATCCCAGCCTCGGATGCGTCCACCTCAACCGTGAAGGCCAAGGAGGGATCCGGATGAGCCAGCACTGGAGCCGAGGTAAACAGGTCCTTCAGGCGACTAAAAGCCCTGTCCGCCTCAGCTGACCACCGCAGACGCACCGGTCCCTCCTTCAGCAACGAGGTAATGGGAGCCACTACCTGACCAAAGCCCCGGATAAACCTCCGGTAGTAGTTGGAAAACCCCAAGAAACGCTGCACCTCCTTTACCGTGGTTGGAGTCGCCCAATTACGCACGGTCGAAATGCGGTCACTCTCCATCCTCACCCCAGACGTGGACATGTGTTACCCTAGGAAGGAGATGGACTCCTGAAAGAACAGTCATTTCTCTGCCTTAGCCTACAGGTCATGCTCCAACAGTCTTTCTAGCACTTTAAGCATCAGGTACACATGCTCAGCCCTTGTAGCGGAGTATATAAGTATGTCATCAATATACACCACTACCCCTTGTCCGTGCAGGTCCCTGAAAATCTCATCTCAAAATGTCCAGAGGTGGTACTAAATGCCGTCCTCCACTCATCTCCCTCCCGGATATGCACTAGGTTGTACGCGCTCCTGAGATCCAATTTTGTGATGAAGCGTGCCCCGTGCAATGATTCCGTCATACTAGCTATCAGGGGTAATGGATAGCTGTACATGATGGTAATCTGATTCAAGCCACGGTAATCAATGCACGGGCGTAAACCACCATCCTTCTTCTTCACAAAAAAGAAACTCGAGGAGACAGGTGAAGTGGATGGCCGAATGTATCCCTGTCTCAGAGACTCGGTGACATATGTCTCCATAGCCGCCTTCTCCTCCTGAGACAAAGGATACACGTGACTCCGGGGAAGTGCAGCTCCTACCGGGAGATTTATCGCGCAATCCCCCGGACGATGAGGTGGTAATTTAGTCGCCCTATTTTTACTGAAGGCGATAGCCAAATCGGCATACTCGGCAGGAATGTGCATCGTGGAAACCTGGTTTTGACTTTCCACCGTAGTTGCCCCCAAGGAAACTCCTACACACCTCCCTGAACACTGACCGGACCATCCCTTAAGAGCCCTCTGTTGCCATGAAATCGTGTGGTCATGAATGGTTAACCAGGGAAGTCCCAACACCACAGGATACGCAGGACAATCAATCAGATAGAGGCTAATCCTCTCCTCATGACCCCCCTGCGTCCTCATCAGAAGTGGGGTGGTGACCTCCCTGATTATGCCTGACCCTAACTGGTGACTATCTAATGCGTGCACAGGGAAAGGTTTATCAACAGACACAGTAGGAATCCCTAAACTACGAGCACACTGGCGATCAATAAAATTCCCAGCCGCGCCTGAATCTACTAGCGCCTTATGCTGGGAATGGGGGGAAACTTCTGGAAAAACAATATCTATACACAAATTAGCAACAGGAGGCTCTGGGTGTGTCGGGTGCTTACTCACCCGAGACGGTCAACCAGTGCCCTGCCTGCTGCCTCGACCTCCTGAGGACCCTCCCCAGCACCGACCAGCAGTGTGTCCTCTGTGGCCACAGTTGGTGCAGGGGACGGTCCGTCTCCCTAACCGCAGCACCTCCGAGCTCCATGGGGGTAGACTCGGAGGTGCTGGGGGATGGAATGGACGGCCCCTGATCAGAACGTCCGCGGGCTGCCAACAGGTTATCCAACCTGATGGACATGTCCACCAGTTGGTCCAGGGTGAGATCGGTGTCCCTGCAGGCCAGCTCCCGATGGACGTCCTCCCTTAAGCTGCAGCGATAATGGTCGATCAGGGCCCGCTCATTCCATCCCGCGCCGGCTGCTAAAGTTCTGAATTCCAGCGCGAACTCCTGCGCGCTCCTCATCTCCAGTCGTAGGTGGAACAGACGTTCACCCGCCGCTCTCCCCTCTGGTGGATGATCGAATACCGCCAGGAAGCGGCGGGTGAAATCCTTGTAGCGGACAGGACTTGCGTCTATTCCTCCCCACTCGGCGTTGGCCCATTCCAGCGCCTTCCCCGAAAGACAGGAGATGAGGGCGGACACGCTCTCGTATTCCGAGGGCGACAGGTGAATGGTGGCCAGGTAAAGTTCGACCTGGAGGAGAAATCCCTGGCACCCGGCAGGTGTTCCTTCATATGCCCTTGGGAGCGAGAGCCGAATCCCACTGGACCCAGATGGCGAAGCGGTGACCAGTGTTGTAGGTGGTTGAGTGGTTGGAGATGGTGACGGGATACCACCTCTCTCCCATCGTTCCATTGTCTGGAATACTCGTTCCATGGTGACCCCGAGAGTACGAATCATTAATTCCTGACGTTGGACTCGTTCGTCCATCGTCTCGGTTACTCCGGCTGCTCCTGCTGACTCCATAGTGGTGCGTGTTTCTGTCACGAATGTTGGTGGAATGCAGTAGGCCAGAGTCAAGCGCAGGACACAGAATGAGACGAAGAACCACTTTACTGAGTAGTAAAGAAAATACAATCAAAACCCTCCAAACAACAAAGGAGGAGCAAAACCCGCACACAGAATGACACTCGTACAAACCAATAAACACGCACACCAAACAGTGGACGTGAACAGGTTAACATATAAAATAGAGCGGCAGCAGCTAGTACTCCGGTGACGACGAACGCCGAAGCCTGCCCGAGCCAGAAGGAAGGGCAGTCTCGGCAGAATCCGTGACACATTGCTGCGGAGAGCATTACTGAGGTCGGGCACTGATGTTGGGCGATTAGGCCTGGCTCGCAGTCGGCGTTCCAATTCATCCCAAAGGTGTTCGATTGGGTTGAGGTCAAGGCTCTGTGCAGACCAGTCAATTTCTTCCACACCGATCTTGACAAACCATTTCTGTATGGATCTCGCTTTGTGCAAGGGGGCAGTTTCATGCTGAAACAGGAAAGAGCCGTCCCCAATCTGTTGCCACAAAGTTGGAATCAGATAATCGCCTAGAATGTCATTGCTTTAGCGTTAAGATTTCCCTTCACTGCAACTAATGGATCTAGCCCGAACCATGAAAAACAGCCCCAGACTATTTTTCCTCCTCCACCAAACTTTACAGTTGGCACTATGCCAATGGTGGCGAGCTATACACCACTCCAGCCGACGCTTGGCATTGCACATGGTGATTATAGGCTTGTGTGCAGCTGCTTGTCCATGGAAACCCACTTCATGAAGCTCCCAACGAACAGCTCTTGTGCTGATGTTTGCTTCCAGAGGCAGTTTGGAAGTCCGTAGTGAGTGTTGCAACCAAGGACCAGCGATTTTTATGCGCTACGAGCTTCATCACTCTGCGGTTCCGTTTTGTGAGCTAGTGTGGCCTACCACTTTGCGGCTGAGCCGTTGTTGCTCTTAGACGTTTCCACTTCACAATAACAGCATTTACAGTTGACCGGGGCAGCTCTAGAAGGGCAGAAATTTGACGAACTGATTTGTTGTAATGGTGGCATCCTATGACGGTGCCACGTTGAATGTCGCTGAGCTCTTCAGTACGGGCCATTCTACTATTAATGTTAGTTTATGGAGATTGTATGGCTGTGTACTTGATTTTATACACCTGCCAGCAACGGGTGTGACTGAAATTTGGAGGGGTGTCCACATATTTTTGTATATATACACTGTGTATCAGGAGATAATCTGCAAATAAATTTAGTTCCTGTTTACCAATATATTTTAGGTTTGGGTCCTGTCTAATTCTTTCTGCAAGCAGTTAAATTACCAGTGCAAACAGTAGGGTGGAGAGTGGACATCCCCATCTTGTGTCCCTTTCTAAAGCAATTTCATCAGATAATGTATTATTTGTGTATATTTTTGCTTTAGAACATTTATACAAAATGTTTATAAAATCAAGAAATTTCAGCTGGAAAGTTGAAAGTTTCCAAAGTTTTGAATAGAAAAGGCCATTCAATATATTTTTAATAAACCCTGTTTGAGTGATATGTATCAAGTCTGGTAAGACTTTTGCCATTCTATTGCTTATAAGCTTTGACATTATTTTATTGTCAAAATGTCTTAATCTTATGGGTCTATAATCAGCAGGGGACGCTAAAAATACATTTAAATTGTGTCATCAAGCTGGCGCCGACGGAGAAGGGCAACATCTTATGAGTTCCAACCCGTCTCTGCTATTTAGTTACTTTATTAGTGTTTATCTTAATTTGTTTTGTACAAAAAGTTCATACTATTATCACATATGACCGCCAAGCACTTCTGGACATCAGATCGACAGTTACTAACCTCGATTTCGACTTCACATCTGACTTCAACTCCTACTCAGCTGTTCCCTTGTTCATAATGGACCCCATTCCTTTGTTTCATGGGCTACCAAAACACAGCAGGCGTAGAAAAGGAGACGTGCTGGCATCCTGGTGAGATTGAGACAAAGAGAATATCGACTGGCACTCCCCTCCGTTCTATTGGCAAATGTCCAGTCACTAGAGAATAAGATGGATGAGCTTCGTTTGAGAGTCTCCTATCAGAGAGACTTGAAAAGCTGCAATATTATGTACCTTGCAGAGACGTGGCTGGATGACTCTATGTACGTAGGACTCTGTGGTTTCTCCATGCAGTGGCATGATCAGACGAAGGAGGCCTCAGGGAAGTCAAAAGGGGGAGGAGTGTGTCTCTTCATAAACAAAAACTGTATTCACTTAATTCAAACGACGTGACATGTCACTTCTGGCTGAACGAAAACAAGTGTACCTAGATGTAACTCCTACAAAAGGAGGGAGTAATGCAGAGAATGAAGGGCCTTGGTCAGGGAGGTGAACAAGAACCCGATGGTCACTCTGACAGAGTTCCAGAGTTCCTCTGTGGAGATATGAGAACCTTCCAGAAGGACAACCATCTCTGCAGCACTACACAAATCAGGCATTTATGGTAGAGTGGCCAGACGGAACCCAGTCCTCAGTAAACGGAACATGACAGCCCGCTTGGAGTTTGCCAAAAGGCCCCTAAAGGACTTAGAAAACAAGAAACAATATGATCTGGTCTCATGAAACCAAGATTGAACTCTTTGGCCTGAATGCCAAGCGTCACGTCTGGAGGAAACCTGGCACCGCTCATTACCTGGCCAATACCATCCCTACGGTGAAGCATGGTGGTGGCAGCATCATGCTGTGGGAATTTCTTTCAGCGGCATGGACTGCAAGACTAGTCAGGATTGAGGGAAAGATGAACGGAGCAAAGTACAGAGAGATCCTTGATGAAAACCTGCTCCAGAGCACTCAGGATCTCAGACTGGGGTGAAGGTTCACCTTCCAACAGGACAACGATCATAAGCACAAAGCCAACACAACGCAGGAGTGGCTTCGGGACAAGTCTCTGAATGTCCTTGAGTTCCCCAGCCAGAGCCCGGACTTGAACTTGAACGAACATCTCTGGAGAGACCCAGAAAATAGCTGTGCTGCAACGCTCCCCATCCAACCTGACAGAGCTTGAGAGGATCTGCAGAGAAGTATGGGATAAACTCCCCAAATACAGGTGTGCCAATCTTGTACCATCATACCCAAGAAGATTCAAGGCTGTAATCGCTGCAAAAAGTGCTTCAACAAAGTACTGAGTAAAGGGTTTGAATACTTAGAGTACCAGTCAAAAGTTTGGACACACCTACTCATTCAAGGGTTTTTCTTTATTTTTACAATTTTCTACATCGTAGAATAATAGTGAAGACATCAAAACTATGAAATAACACATATGGAATTATGAAGTAACCAAAAAAATGATAAACAATTCAAAATATAATTTATATTTGAGATTCTTCAAATAGCCAACCTTTGCCTTGATGACAGCATTGCACACTCTTGGCATTCTCTCAACCAGCTTCACCTGGAATGCTTTTACAACATTCTTGAAGGAGTTCCCACATATGCTGAGCACTTGTTGAATGCTTTTCCTCACTCTGCGGTCCGACTCATCCCAAACCATCTCAATTTGGTTGAGGCCGGGGGATTGTGGAGGCCAGGTCATCTGATGCAGCACTCCATCACTCCTTCTTGGTAAAATAGCCCTTAAAACAGCCTGGAGGTGTGTTGGGTCATTTTACTGTTGAAAAACAAATGGTAGTCCCTTGGGATGGCGTATTGCTGCAGAATGCTGTGGTAGCCATGCTGGTTAAGTGTGCCTTGAATTCTAAATAAATCACAGCACCCCCACACCATAACACCTCCACGGTGGGAAATACACATGCAGAGATCATCCGTTCTGAGAGGTAACTCAGGGGTTTCCATTCCTGTGGTGGTCCTCATGAGAACCAGTGTCATCATAGTTCTTGATGGTTTTTGTGGATGCATTTGAAGAAACTATAAAAGTTCTTGAAATGTTCCGTATTGACTGACCTTCATGTCTTAAAGTAATGATGGACTTTTGTTTCTCTTTGCTTATTTGAGTTGTTCTTGCCATAATATGGACTTGGTCTTTTACCAAATAGGGCTATCTTCTGTATACCTCCCCTACCTTGTCACAACACAACTGACTGGCTCAAACGAATTAAGAAATTCCACAAATTAACTTTTAAGAAGGCACACATGTTAATTAAAATGCATTCCAGGTGACTACCTCATGAAGCTGGTTGAGAGAATGCCAAGAGTGTGCAAAGCTGTCATCAAGGCAAAGAATCTCAAATATATATTTATTTACTTTACACTTTTTTGTTTACTACATTATTTAGTGGTTTTGATGTATTCACTATTATTCTAAAATGTAGAAAATAGTAAAAATAAAGGAAAACCCTGGAATGAGTATATGTGTCCAAACTTTTGACTGGTACTCTAAGTTTTCAGACCCTTTACTCATTGCTTTGTTTATGCATGGCATAAGGTCCCTGTATGCATTGTACTCAAGGGTACAGAAAGCACCTCCTGCTCCAAACAGCTAGGCTGCCCACGACAGCTGAAACAGAGCAGTACCTAGCAAATTGCTTTGCCCTTGTTTTTGTCAGGCCCACAATCTGGAGGCCACGCACTGCAAGCCTGTTTACGTGGCCGAGACGGCCAAATATCAGCGCCACCAGCTTGCACCTACACCTGAGGCTGTCCAAGCGTGCCACAAGAGGCTGGTATTTAAGCAACTTCTCGGCAAAGGCCTGCTCTATGTAGCCATCAAATGAGCAGCCCACTTCCAAAATGAGCACCTCCACCTGGCCTCCCCCACAGCAACAATATCTGGCGTATTTAGCACACATCATCATCAACATCAAACCAGCTTCCCCTTACACAATAATGTTTATGTATGACGCTGGTTGGAAGAATACCCACAGACCGGGCATGCCCACTGACTGGCCTCAGTTCCAGGTGCAACACACACACACAGCGGGCTAATGGAAGTTAATGGGGCCTAATAGAGTGTACTGTAATATGGGTTGATGTAGACTTCAGCCCCTTTGTTACTGTCAGAGGTAGTCTAATGTAGCGAACAGTGTTACAAGCTAATGTAGAAGACTGTATAACAGTGGTGTATGGTCCAACAATGTGACCATTATTAGAAACTGCTGGAGGGTAATATACTGGACCCGTCTGCCTTGTTCAATGGAGTCTAATGAAACCTCCCTTTCAAGAGTACCTGAAAATAAAATAAAATAAAGTTAGAAAGAGGTAGAAGCACGGCAAGGCACAATAGAGGTGAGCATGTCTCCATCTGTCTTATGACCTCATACACCAAAGACGGCATTAACGATAAGTAATAAAATAAAGACGGCACCTTTAAAAGCCCACTTCACACCATAGCCTGCTGAATTTGCAAGATAACTTTTCTTTCATTTTGATTTTGTCACAAATGAAAATGTGGCACTGACTCGCCCATGGATTGATGTTTCAGCAGTGTCTCAATGAAGAGTTTGGCATTCGACTAGCCATATGTGACATGCACGCACAATTACAAGCCTGCTAGAATTAGCTGCAGGCTAGCGAGCAATATCCACCGACGTAGTACGAATAAAGCCTGACCTGGAAAGTGAAGTTAACCGAAGCTGGCTAGCTTAATACTGTCGTATATGATGAGTGGTAGCAATTATTGCTGTCAACAAAAAGTCCGCTATGCTGCATCGTGTTCGAGGCTTTTATTAAAATCACGAATTTACAGCATAGATACAGACTCGCGATGTCCGGAGAACGGCTCCCCAGATTGCTATGGCCGTTCTGCCGTCTCATCGTTTACCCCCTATTTATAAACAATGCAAAAAGAGGAGTGACTCCCCTCTTCTGGCCAATCACCAGTCTCCCCTGGGGCATCACCCTCCCAACGCTACATTTGAACTAAGATCATAAAACAACATTCTTTGTTCCTCCAAAACATTTAACAAAGGCATAATCTTCAGATACGATATTATATATATATTATATTATATATTCCCCCCTTTCGAGACGAAATAAACGTCTCGAAAACAAACAGAATAAGATTATGACTATTAACCATTTATCTTATTGAGTATCTTTAACATTAAACCAAACACATTCTCCTCTAGAGTTAAAATCCTTTCTATGAAATACCTGTTTATGAAGTGAGAATACATTACTATGACATATGAAGTGAGAATACATTACTATGACATATGAAGTGTGAATACATTACTATGAACTATGAAGAAATCTCTATGGAGTGTAAGAGCGAAAAACTGCTCACAGCCATCCATCCCTATCAATCAAGACAGTAAAATTCTCTCCACGGTCCCTCTGCCCCAGGCAACCACCGTCGGTACTCCAGATAACCTCATAACTCATGTAAATGCATTTGAAACTATAATACAATTAAACTACACATGTAAGCCCCTGTAAACAAAATCCTATCCAATAACATCCATTGTACGGCTGGGTCAACCCATATGACTGGACAATGAAACTCTCCCTTCCTAGCCTCTCTGTCCCCTAAACATTCACCGAAATAAACAAAAACATCTAAGATCCTTACATGTATCCCAATTACATCAAACATCATTCTAACAAAAATTTATCACCTGAGGCTATTAACACAATTATGTATTACACATCAAATATGTCTATATTTCATTGCAGACACTGGAATGTAGTCCACTACACTTCCTCTCCTCCGTAGTCTCGACCTCCGTATTCTCCTCCGTAGTCTCGACTTCCACTGCCATCGTTGATGATGGAATCGGAACCTTTCCACACCCCTCCTTGTTTCATCTCCTCCAGTCCATATTGTCCCTTCATATTGTCCTTCATATTGTCCTTGTTTGAATATTTAAATCTCCACATGTTCTCCCAAATGCTTCTGGAAGAAATAAAAGACCAAAACAGTATCTTTTGCAAAACAACATTTTCAAATTAAACCTCAGCATCAATTTAAGAATATAAAATGACTATAAATGATGTATGAATCACATTAACCTATCCCCCCCTTGATTCATAAAATCATTCTAAAAATCATACTAAAAAAAATGTTTTCCTTGAAACACATAAAAATAAAATGATCAAATAATCAAAAAGGATATTTATCCATTCAGTAGTCCATCTAGGAACCCCCTCGTCCGTCTTCGTCCAGATCCGGAACAGTCAACACCGGCATCATTCTCCACCTATTTCAATCTCATAGCTTCCTCAAAAGTCAGTAACATATTACACAGTGCTATCAAAGCTGTCATTACCCATCACTTCACGTCTGCCCCTACTGGCCTAATGATCTTGCAACCAAATCTATCTCAGATCTCCCAAACACATCCCTATAATGCATATATAACCCCAGTGATCTTATCTAAACTATCTGGACTCAAAAGATAACTAATATTTATCAATATGATCTTCCCAAATGTTACACCATACCATGAATAAAGTCCCCCCTTCTCCCTTAGACTTATTCTTCAATGATAGGCTTGAAGCCTATCACATGTCCCTTTTCATCCTATTTTGAACTCTAATTTCAGATCGATCTGTGTTCGGTGCTACTCCTCTTTTAATAGTAAAAGCCTCATATGGAAGCTTCAATGTTGACATGTAACCAAATCCTGTCCATCCTTAATATAAGTATATATATATGCTTTATCACCCCCAAACCCCTAAATATCTCTAAAATTCCCCATAGTCACATTGTCAGTCAAAAGCTAATCGTTTAACCATCAAAGTCCTGCTTTTCTACTACCTGATACATAAAAAGTTACATTATATTTGTCATCTCTAACCTTATGTTCATGCTTATCCAAAGTTATCATATAACATCACACTCTGCTCTTCCCATAAACATACCCCTTACCTCCTATGTTTTATTAGAACAAAAACAACTTTTAGCCCTCAATGTTTCACCTGAATACTTCATGGTTCCGTTGTTACCTGATCTTCCTTTCCCATTTAACAATTCCCATAGGGTAATTCATTTACCCAAGAACACTACTTAAACCTAGGCTTAAACCACTGTTCTGACAACGACATTATTTATCTGTCAATGGACTGTTGCCCAAATTTACCACAGTCATGACAATCATAAGACTGACCCATACCTGATAGAGGCTGCGCAACCGTCTAACATGTTTGGGATGGAATTCTCAACAGACATGGACCCTCAAGATTCCTCACTGATCTTACAGAATGATTAATCTCTCTCTAATTTCCACAAACAGAACTAACGAGCGATACTGATCAGATACCCCCCCCCTGTCTGTCATCAAAAATCAAGATCTCATCCTGTCCTCCATGATGAATCTATATTCTCTCTACTACTATCTGTTCTCCTATTTTAACCCTATTCTGTACTATCATTGACCAGCACTCTCCATCCGTAACCTAAACCCCTGAGTCCTTCTTGCTACCCCCCTTTAATTTCAGAACAGTTTGTGTCGGTATCATACTCCTATATTTGCTATTGCCATAGTATCATTATCCCTTCCAAAGTTACCATTAAAGTAGTTGATTTAGCTGCTGTAATCAACCCTAATTACTCTAGTGCAAAGTTTCCCATTATCCTCGGTGTATTATCTACTGTTGGAGTGACTACTGTCCATCAGTTCTACTCCTCCTGAACTCCCTCAATGACTGGTGGAGGCTACAAACAGACCTCAACTCTTCCATTATAAGCATTACTTTATGAATTACATAGCCCTTTAACCAATAATTCCTAACCGGAACAAATTCTAATGCTTGCCCTAAATAAGTACACATATATTCTCCCTGACCTTTCTCTGTAAACATTACGCAACATAAGTGAACAGTCACTCCTAACCCTCTTCTAAACTATACCTCCTTTTACTCCTGGTCCTGATAACAATACTTATTCTCCATAATTATCTCTCCATATGGGAGGAACGTCCCCATCTTAAACCCTAATAAGTATTTTCCCCCTAAAATTGGTGCTGTATTGGTTCCCTTATAATCAAATGCGATATATTTATGACTTTTAATACCTATCAATGTTGAAAGAGTTAAATTGCTTCTCCCTGTTGTTTCTAATAGACTGAAGTGTTAATGTCCTTATTTACTCCTAGTTTTCCCCCAGTTTTCCCCTAAGACTTTGAACTCTTTCCTTGTACTTCCATCCATCACCACTAGTGTCACTTTTTCCCCAAATCTCAGTCCTATCTCTAAATCCCTGACTTTCAAACTTTGGATTACACAAAATACACCTATAATGACCTTGATCTCCCTGCTGGAAACTGTAAATATAGATACTCAATCACCCTCAAATCATTCAGCAACACATACTTTCTCAATGCATCTGCTCCTAACCGATTTAAACTCCTACCATATCTTCCCACTAAACTTTAAAATGTCCTTCCTCACTGTTCTCTCTCTGTCTTACTACTAACTTTGAAACTTAGCTTACTGTCTCAGAGTTCTTCCAACCCTAATCTACTCCTAACTTATTTTAATCTAATATTTTAATCTAATATTTAAAACCTTTTCCCCTGATTTATTGACAAAATCTCTTACCACCAAATTTTTGGAATATGTGATTGGGAAAGTTCCCCACCTGCTTCTGACTCATTACACACAGACTTGGCAAAACGACTAACCACCTTTTAGCCTAGCCTGAAATCCCTTAATGTAAGAATGTAACCCAGAATAATAATCACCCTATTAAGTTTATTTTCCCAAACAGATTGTCTAATAGGCAATCTAATAAATTATCATCCTTCCTATGATATTATCTTTTTAAGCAAATGATTCCCAAAAACCCTACTTTTTAAAATATTCTACCAGACAGTCAGTCGTCTAGTGTACATCTTATTGTACGCTTCAATTTACACCATGCATCTCTTTCCCAACAATGCCATAGGTATATTGTCCTAATATTAGTATGTCTCTTTTACTTCCTCTTTGACTTTTATAGCAGAGCTCAATTGATTCCCTAAGAGTAATTAAACTGTTTTACTACATCAAACCCCTATCCTACCCTAATTAATTTTACATAGTGAGATGTTTAACCTCTTTAGGCTGAACACATACATTTTCCCACTATTCACTATCACTTCTAATGGCCGGTTGTTTCAACTGTTAGCTATTTTCTCTTCTCCTCTAATTGAGGCTCTCAGCAATGCACCCCCCTTCCGGATCTTCTCTAGAACAGGTGATCTTCACTTGCTCCTTCATCTTCCTCTGTTGTTTTCTCCTGTTCTTGGGATTCTCTCAGCAGTTTTCTTGGTCCTGTTCCTTCTCGTCGTTGACATATCAGTAATCTTCAACCTTAGTTCTAAGTTCTGTCCTCGAAATATCATCTTCCATCATCTTCTTACTTTTCTTCTCTGCCAGTCCTTGTAGGACAAACTCCTCTTGAAAATAAAGCACCTTTAATCTCCAAATCTTCATCACTTTCTTCATCTTCAACTTCCATCAGAGATCAAATCTCGCGTATCCTTCTTCGTTTCTCTCTTGCCAACTTCCTTCTGATCACAGAATCATATCCACCCATGACCTCTCTCAATCACTCTCATCTTCATCCTCCTCATCTCCTTCACGTTCCAGACCTCTCATTTTCTTCCGTCTTCTGGATTCATCTTCATCGTTGTTTCTGCTGGTACCCTATCTATTATTTGTTCATCTTAATTTCTGATGCAATAATCACTCCTAGATGATCATTGTAAGCTGAGAATAAACATCCCTAAGCTCTACTTTTTAGCCTATCTTATCGCTGGAATATTTTATCAATTTCTGTTATCAATTTCTGTTTGAGAATGAAGGGCAACTTTTGTTTCACTTGCCGGATACCCTAGCAACACTTTAATTAAAGGATTACCACTATTTCAACCCGTGTAATGACTTTCATAGTCCTGATATCTTTTTCCCCATTGTAACAAGCCTTTCTATTCCTTTATTGTGAACTATCCTATTTTAGACTATATAAGTTATATAGGCTTCCCCCCTGTAATTCTTAATATAACCTAAACAAATCCATTAACAATCCTGAATAATTAACCCCAATTCCTATTCCTATGTCACCAATATCAATTAGTGTTAGCTATCTTACCACAACCCATCAACTGCAAGTAAATGCAAGTTAGTCATCTTCAGACTAAAATACCCATAAACAAAGCCTTCTAACCTTACAACCCTTCAATACTCCAATTCCCATAACCCCTTGCTCTATTAGCTCTAATTATCTTAAATTTACAGAACAATCCTCAATCCATCCTTGATTCCCAACACATCTGTAATCAAACCCCAGTGATACACAGAGCCACCAAAATACAATTTTTAATGAAATAGTATTTGCCAAGCCTATGTAAAATTGTCATAACATCACATATTCTGTTAGGATGATTTTGTGTACTAGCCTGATCCGATCCTCTCGTCTGCCTCGTCACACCTTGTTCGTGACGCACACGTCAGCCCCTTCTCTCTCTCTCCTCTCGTTCCATGTTCCTCTCATAATTCAAAAAAAACATAGAAACACACACGATTTCAGCAGTTAATGCAATCACTGAGTATTTCCAACCATTCAATATTCGTTCGTTCTACATTATTCACTCTAAGACTAAACTCAGAATTAAATAGATCGCTCAAAAACATTTTTTATTTTAATCCGTCTTTTAATTATTTAATTCAATTTATTATAATCCGCTACCATATATCTAATTTATAAATTCAATAGGCTACAAAACAAGTTTCATCTTTAACCAATCGCAGTTTAAACTAGAATCATCGTGTTAAAATTTCTCCTCTGTCTATTTTCCTTGCAGGGTAACGCCAAATGGGACCTATGACCTGTACCCCACCATTTTGTTTTGTAGGCTTAGCACACCCTCATTTCGTAGTTTTTAGCCCCGTAAAATCAACACGTGTCCTAATCTCGTGTCATAAACTCCCCCTTTCTGTAGGGTAGTGTCGCAAAATTAAACGCATGCGCACAGCCATTCAAAAATACCTTTTCCCCGTGAAAGAATGATTCTCTACTCTCTCTCCCCAAACAGAAAGAATAACATCCAGCTGTAATTTCCCATTTCCCCCTTATAGTCAAACAACATTTAACAGCGCTCACAAAACATATAACCTGACTTAAACACAGAGACAAATTTAAGAGACTTTAATCCATCGCAATGGAATCTCTAAGGATATCCGTTAGCATGTAGCACGCAACACAATTAGCATTAGCAGTTAGCATTAGCCTGAGGTACACTGTGACACAAAACACAGTTAGCATTTAGCCTTAAGCATTAACATCCACCTCAGCCACCATGTAGAATGTAGCATGATTCACACTTTAGCATTAAAACAAATTAGCCTTAGCAACGATGCACCACGTGGCCTGAAACAATCAAGCATTAGCCACGAGGTACCACGTGGCCTGAAACAATCAAGCATTAGCCCTAGCCTCCAGCTAACTGCGGCCTACTAGCTATACAAATGAACACCCCGCACCGTGGCCAAATCATCATCATCGCAATTATCTCCGTCTAACTTTTTGTTGCCTTGAAAGATGAATCTCATATCAAGCGGTTATCCCCAACATATCTCCCGTCGGCTATAGAAGAAGTAAACATAAATACAACCATTCACTTCATAATTCCCGCTTAAGGAATCAACCTGACCCAATCTAACTAAGTCCCGGATTTGTGGCCCATTCCTAAAGAATCGCCTCGATCAAGAGGTCTTTTCCGTATTCACGGTGCCCTAACTATGCAGACGTCTTCCAACATTTATCCTCTACCAATCCATTGTCACCCGTTACCAATGAATTATACACTTTCAATACTTAAATCCTACCGTTTAATGCTCTACATTCCAATTAACTGCCGTTCTTGATGGAATAAATTTTAGCAGACTCCAGTCGACCGCAATAACGCCACCGAGGCCAGGTCATAATGGAACATCCCTTCAATGTACACAAGTCATATCCAATCTAACAACCTCCGAAGCGGTAAGAACACTCACCCTTTTTCCATGCTTCAGAGAGAGAGTTAGCCTGGCGGTTGACTGAAACACAGAGGAGACGCAAACCCAGCCCCACGTTGGGCGCCATTATGTCGTATATGATGAGTGGTAGCAATTATTGCTGTCAACAAAAATCCGCTATGCTGCATCGTGTTCGAGGCTTTTATTAAAATCACGAATTTACAGCATAGATACAGACTCGCGATGTCCGGAGAACGGCTCCCCAGATTGCTATGGCCGTTCTGCTGTCTCATCGTTTACCCCCTATTTATAAACAATGCAAAAAGAGGAGTGACTCCCCTCTTCTGGCCAATCACCAGTCTCCCCTGGGGCATCACCCTCCCAACGCTACATTTGAACTAAGATCATAAAACAACATTCTTTGTTCCTCCAAAACATTTAACAAAGGCATAATCTTCAGATACGATAATACAAATCGGAGTAAATCTATACTTCAAATTAGTGGATTCAGCTATTTCAGCCACACCAGCAATCGAGCACACAGCCATGCAATCTCCATAGACAAACATTGGCAGTAGAATGGCCTTACTGAACAACTCAGTGACTTTCAACGTGGCACCGTCATAGGATGCTACTTTTCCAACAAATCAGTTTGGCAAATTTCTGCCCTGCTAGAGCTGCCCCTGTTAACTGTAAGTGCTGTTATTGTGAAGTGGAAACGTCTAGGAGTAACAACGGCTCAGCCACAAAGTGGTAGGCCACACCAGCTCATAGAACGGGACCGCCGAGAGCTGACGCTCGTCGTGCGTGTGTCCTCGGTTGCAACACTCACTACTGAGTTCCAAACTGCCTCTGGAAGCAACGTCAACACAAGAACTGTTCGCTGGGAGCTTCATGAAATGGGTTTCCATGGCCGAGCAGCCGCACAAAAGCCTAAGATCACCACGCGCAATGCCAAGCGTCGCCTAGAGTGGTGTAAATATCGCCGCCATTGGACTCTGGAGCAGTGGAAATGCGTTCTCTGGAGCGATGAATCACGCTTCACCATCTGGTGGATGCCAGGATAACGCTACCTGCCCGAATGCATAGTGCCAACTGTAAAGTTTGGTGGAGGAGGAATAATGGTCTAGGGCTGTTTTTCATGTTTCAGGCTAGGCCGCTTAGGAAATCTTAACGTTACAGCATACAATGACATTCTAGTCGACTCTGTGCTTCTAACTTTGTGGCAACAGTTTGGGGAAGGCCCTTTCCTGTTTCAGCATGACAATGCCCCCGTGCACAAAGCGAGGTCCATACAGAAATGGTTTGTTGAGATTGGTGTGGAAGAACTTGACTGGCCTGCACAGAGCCCTGACCTCAACCCCATCGAACACCTTTGGGATGAACTGGAACGCCGACTGCGAGCCAGGCCTAATCGCCCACCATCAGTGCTAAATGGAAGTCCCCGCAGCAATGTTCCAACATCTAGCGGAAAGCCTTTCCAGAAGAGTGGAGGCTGTTATAGCAGCAAAGGGGGGACCAACTCCATATTAATGTCCATGATTTTGGAATGAGATGTTCGACGAGCAGGTGTCCACATACTTTTGGTCATGTTGTGTAGCTTGCGTCGAAGTATACCACTCTGGTGACAGACAGTGAGACACACTGTGACACACACACTAACCACCATTCCCTTGTATCTCTCTCTCTCTATTAGTCTAATGGTTGGGATGCCAGTGAGATCTTTAACTAGGAGACGTACGGAGTCAACTCCACCTATGGCTTCCTCTCCATGTACACGTGAGTATTCTCCCCTCAGTTCCTCATTGTCTCAATGGCTCCTCAATGTATTTTTAGAAGGTTTAGTAATGCATTATTTGCCTTGACAAGCACTCCATTTCCTACCAGAATGCCTGTATTTATACTGTATACCTTACTGATAAGACCATGTCAATTTTCTCTCCTTCCCATTTATCCCTCTCTCTCTCTCTCTCCCCTCAGTGTTGCTATGGAGAGGCCTGCCTCGGATGAATGAGACAGAGGGCAATGTCCAGTACCACCACCTCGTCTCACTGAAGAACGATTAAGGCCAGACTGAGGAGTACAAGTACAGTACCGTGGTCTAAGAGAGAGAGGAAACATGAATGAGTAGTGCCGAGGGCAGGTAGGTCACGAGTGGAATCACAGATATACATGATCACATATAAACGTATAACAGAGTTAAGAACGTGACATAAGCTCACTCCACAGCTAGCTTGAAATGTTGCAGATGGAGCCATCCAGTTGGTACATTTTGGGTGGTTACGTTGTCAATATACAATTTTTTCATTAGCACTACACACCTGATTCAAATGATCAACACTTGATGATACTTTGAGTCGGCTGTCTAGTGCTAGGGCATTAACTAAAATGTGCATCCCTTTGGGTCTCCAGGACCAGGATTAATAAATGCTGTTCTAGCTAGAATAATCACATTCCCCACCTTACCTCTCCCTGGCTACCGTATGTAGACATGATCCAACTCTGTGAACACACTGACTATACACATTGACCTGTTTGCCTTCTTCGCCATTTCCGCGGTCGTAACGTTAATGGGAACAAACGACAGCAAAGAGTATGAAAGAGTCACAGGACTAAAATGAAAGCAATCAATCCATCGAGATTTAATTGAGAAGTGGATTTTGCACCCCTCAAACAAAAAAATAAATGCATGAAAAAGGTTCTCAAGTGGACGGGGCATGCACGTTGCTACAACTACCTCCTGGGCCGTCACAACTACTATCTAGGCCGTCACAACTACCACCTAGACCGTCACAACTACCACCTGGGCCATCACAACTACCACCTAGACCGTCACAACTACCACCTGGGCCATCACAACTACTATCTAGGCCGTCACAATTACCACCTAGACCGTCACCTGGGCAGTCACAACTACCTCCTGGGCTGTCACAACTACTACCTTCACAACTAGCACCTTCACTGCAGCCCTGCATAGTAGCCGCCTGCCATCACATCATCATGCTCTGAGGATCGTCCCTCTGAGATGACGCCATTTCCCAAACTATTTAACATAATGTCATATTGCATTCCGTCTTTGTTGTTCATTCAGTTAAGCTTGTACTCGATTGAACTACCTCCTGGGCCATCACAACTACCAACTCCACAACCCTCTGGGATAACATGTACATCTACAGTATATTTCCAATACACTTACAAGTTTTTTGTGGAGGTCGGTGTCCTGCTTCAGCTTGCTCTCCAGCAGCTTCAGGTCTGGCCGGTCTTTCAGCGGGCGCAGGATACCCTTAGGCAAGGACATATCTCCACACGACCCATTGGACTGCTGATTGGCTAAACTAGTAGCTAGCTGGGCCTTCATCGCTTTAGTATTGTGCTATCCGGATCTACAGGAAAAAAGGGAGTAGATAATCATTTTTACACTACTGAAAATAATTACAAATGGTGGCTTTGATGCCCTCCAAAAAGAGATGTGTAAGTTGTTAAATTATTACTTGGTTGCCTACTAGCAAGCTGGGTGTCACAATCGTTCATGAACCGGTCAGACCAAGGCGCAGCGTGATATGCGTACATGTTTATTAAATATTAAACACAACGACAAAACAACAAACAAAACGAAATGTGAAGTCCAAGGCAGCACAACACAACATACCTTAACTGGAACAAGATCCCACAACCCACTAGTGCCAATAGGCTGCCTAAGTATGGACCCCAATCAGAGACAACGAGCGACAGCTGCCTCTGATTGGGAACCACACCGGCCAACATAGAAATAGACATACTAGATTCTACAACATAGAACTGACACAACAAGGAATACACACACCCTGACTCAACATATAAACGTCCCCTGAGTCAGGGCGTGACACTGGGCCTTAAGCGTTTCGTTTTCCAGAGTCAGTCTTCTTATTTGCTGCATTTCTAACCCCAAAAAATGATATATATATATATATATATATATATATATATATATATATATATATATACAGTGGGGAGAACAAGTATTTGACACACTGCCGATTTTGCAGTTTTTCCTACTTACAAAGCATGTAGAGGTCTGTAATTTTTATCATAGGTACACTTCAACTGTGAGAGACGGAATCTAAAACAAAAATCCAGAAAATCACATTGTATGATTTTTAAGTAATTAATTTGCATTTTATTGCATGACATAAGTATTTGATCACCTACCAACCAGTAAGAATTCCGGATCTCACAGACCTGTTAGTTTTTCTTTAAGAAGCCCTCCTGTTCTCCACTCATTACCTGTATTAAAGACACCTGTCCACACACTCAATCAAACAGACTCCAACCTCTCCACAATGGCCAAGACCAGAGAGCTGTGTAAGGACATCATGGATACAATTGTAGACCTGCACAAGGCTGGGATGGGCTACAGGACAATAGGCAAGCAGCTTGGTGAGAAGGCAACAACTGTTGGCGCAATTATTAGAAAATGGAAGAAGTTCAAGATGACGGTCAATCACCCTCGGTCTGGGGCTCCATGCAAGATCTCACCTCGTGGGGCATCAATGATCATGAGGAAGGTGAGGGATCAGCCCAGAACTACATGGCAGGACCTGGTCAATGAGCTGAAGAGAGCTGGGACCACAGTCTCAAAGAAAACCATTAGTAACACACTACGCCGTCATGGATTAAAATCCTGCAGCGCACGCAAGGCCCCCCTGCTCAAGCCAGCGCATGTCCAGGCCCATCTGAAGTTTGCCAATGACCATCTGGATGATCCAGAGGAGGAATGGGAGAAGGTCATGTGGTCTGATGAGACAAAAATAGAGCTTTTTGGTCTAAACTCCACTCGCCGTGTTTGGAGGAAGAAGAAGGATGAATACAACCCCAACAACACCATCCCAACCGTGAAGCATAGAGGTGGAATCATCATTCTTTGGGGATGCTTTTCTGCAAAGGGAACAGGATGACTGCACCGTATTGAAGGGAGGATGGATGGGGCCATGTATCGCGAGATCTTGGCCAACAACCTCCTTCCCTCAGTAAGAGCATTGAAGATGGGTCGTGGCTGGGTCTTCCAGCATGACAACGACCCGAAACACACAGCCAGGGCAACTGAGGAGTGGCTCCGTAAGAAGCATCTCAAGGTCCTGAAGTGGCCTAGCCAGTCTCCAGACCTGAACCCAATAGAAAATATTTGGAGGGAGGTGAAAGTCTGTATTGCCCAGCGACAGCCCCGAAACCTGAAGGATCTGGAGAAGGTCTGTATGGAGGAGTGGGCCAAAATCCCTGCTGCAGTGTGTGCAAACCTGGTCAAGACCTACAGGAAACGTATGATCTCTGTAATTGCAAACAAAGGTTTATGTACCAAATATTAAGTACTGCTTTTCTGATGTATCAAATACTTATGTCATGCAATAAAATGCAAATTAATTACTTAAAAATCATACAATGTGATTTTCTGGATTTTTGTTTTAGATTCTGTCTCTCACAGTTGAAGTGTACCTATGATAAAAATTACAGACCTCTACATGATTTGTAAGTAGGAAAAACTGCAAAATCGGCAGTGTATCAAATACTTGTTCTCCCCACTGTATGTATATTTTTTGGGGGTGGTTGTATATCAGCTTTAATAGTGCAGATAGATTGTAGCTTCCATCATTGTAATTGTCTGCATCATTTCTAATCCTCCATATTTAAAAATATATATATATACAGTGGCTTGCGAAAGAATTCACACCTTTGGCATTTTTCCTATTTTGTTAGCTTACAACCTGGAAATAAAATTGATTTTTGGGGAGTTTGTATCATTTGATTTACACAACATGCCTACCACTTTGAAGATGCTAAATATTTTTTCTTGTGAAACAAACAAGAAATAATAATGCATAACTATTCACCCCCCCAAAGTCAATAATTTGTAGTGCCACCTTTTGCAGCAATTACAGCTGCAAGTCTCTTGGGGTATATTTCTATAAGCTTGGCACATCTAGCCACTGAGATTTTTGTCCATTCTTCATAGCAAAACTTCTCCACCTCCTTCAAGTTGGATAGGTTCCACTGGTGTACAGCAATCTTTAAGTCATACCACAATTGGATTGAGGTCTGTGCTTTGACTAGGCTATTCCAAGACATTTAAATGATTCCCCTTAAACCACTCAAGTGTTGCTTTAGCAGTATGCTTAAGGTCATTGTCCTGCTGGAAAGGGAACCTCCGTCCCAGTCACAAATCTCCGGAAGACTGAAACAGGTTTCCCTCAAGAATTTCCCTGTACTTAGCGCAATCCATCATTCCTTCAATTCTGACCAGTTTCCCAGTCCCTGCCGATTAAAAATATCCCCACAGCATGATGCTGCCACCACCATGCTTCACTGTGGGATGGTGTTCTCAGGGTGATGAGCGGTGTTGGGTTTGCGCCAGGCATAGAGTTTTCCTTGATGGCCTAAAAGCTCAATTTTAGTCTCATCTGACCAGAGTACCTTCTTCCATAGGCTTTTTGCGAACACCAAATGTGTTTGCTTATTTTTTTCTTTAAGCAATGGCTTTTTTCTGTCCACTCTTCCGTAAAGCCCAGCTCTGTGGAGTGTACGGCTTAAAGAGGTCCTATGGACAGATACTCCAATCACCGCTGTGGAGCTTTGCAGCTTCTTCAGGGTTATCTTTGGTCTCTTTGTTGCCTCTCTGATTAATGCCCTCCTTGCAAGGTCTGTGAGTTTTGGTGGGCAGCCCTCTCTTTGCAGGTTTGTTGTGGTGCCATATTCTTTCAATTTTTGTATAATGGATTTAATGGTGCTCCATGGGATGTTCAAAGATTCTGATATTTTTTTATAACCCAACCCTGATTTGTACTTCTCCACAACTTTGTCCCTGACCTGTTTGGAGAGATCCTTGGTCTTCATGGTGCCGCTTGCTTGCTGGTGCCCCTTGCTTAGTGGTGTTGCAGACTCTGGGGCCTTTCAGAACAGGTGTATATATACTGAGATCATGTGACAGATCATGTGACACTTAAATTGCAAACAGGTGGACTTTATTTAACTAATTATGTGACTTCTGAAGATAATTACTTGCACCAGATCTTACATGATCAGTCTATAATTTTAA